CCTTTCAAGTAGTCTGAAGAGTCCTGGCCTACACATCCTTTCTCAGAGCACACAGACAAACAGCAAATTCTTTTAAAAACCTTTTTTGCATAAAAAAAGAGAGACACACACCTAAAGGTAATCCACCTGCCTGTACTAGGCATGAATACTTTGCTGCATATTCTCACAATGTATCTCAAATGAGGGACAAGTGACCTAGATCTGCTTCTCAGTGTTTGCAGGGACGATGAATGCTTGCATTGTGGTGAGACACTAGACTGGGCTTCCCAGAGAGATGGTGGAGATCCCATCCCTGCAAACATTCAAGGTCAGGTTGGATGGGGCTCTGAGCAACCAGTTCTAGTTAAAGATGTCCTTCCTCCTTGCAGGGTGCTTGGATTAGATGGCCTTTAAAGATCTCTTCCATCCTGAAACATTCTACGGTTTGACTGGGTCTTTTTCAGACTTGTGTTGGGAGGCAATCTCAGACCTGTAGAAGACAGGGCTCAGCAAACCACCCCCTTGGCTTCAGCAGATTCCTTTTTTACAGCCATCCGTGGGTAATGACCGCCTAACACTACAAAATGTGTACCTCTGCAGCGCTGTGCATCTGCAAAGTGCTGTGCTAATGTGAGTGAATGAGAACAGCTTGCACTCAAGTAAGCTGAAGCAGTCATTCATAGCAAAGAGATCCTTTGGGGAAGGTTTCTTTGCTCGATGAGGTGAGTTTCTTACTCATCTGTTTATCTAGAGCAAACACTCCTGCAGTAATGTCACCCACTGGGGATTAGACTCATTCTTCTCCTTTCCACGATCCACATATCCCTATCTTTGGCCATTTAATACCCGTCTTATTCTTGTACTAGCACTGTCCCTTAATTTTGCCTTCTCTGCTCTTTTTCTCCCTAGTTCTTCTTCTCCCTTGCCCGAGCTTCTTTGCTGCTGTTAGTGCCTTTGCCAGGAATGTCCCAACCTCACTGCTGCCCTCATTTGACCATAGACAAACTCATCTGGCTTTCTGCTCCTTGGCATCCTGCTAGCCTAGACCTGACCCCAGCTCAGACCACAACGCTGGGTGATCAGGGTCACTGCATTTCGTAGGGAGCCACAAAAAATTGCCTTTTATGGCACTATTCACCCTCCTTTGTCTCTGTGGAAACTATCTTCTCTGCCCATTCCATCTAACAGCCCTTCCTCTTTTTCCATGGCCACTCAGTACTGATCTTCACTTTCCTCTTGTGGCACACAGTCCTCACAGTTCTGACTCCCTCTGTGGCTTTTTGCTGAAGAGCACTTCTCAGAGCACACAGAGGTCAGGCTTGCAGTGACTCAGATCCCATCTCCTTCTATTCCCATGCTCAACACCCTTATTTAGGACTTCAAAAGCCTCAGACTTTGGCACCTGGCTTGCTCTGACATGGTACCAAGACTATTGCAATTTGCTTCCTACCTTGGTCGTTTCCCTTCCTAGAATCTCTCAGCTGTCCTGCCTGGCTCTTGCATTCAGTATTGTCTTGGCATTGCAGGCTATTTTTTTTTCCCCTAAGTCTGGGACCCTCCTTTAGATCACCTGCATGCAACGCGGTGCGGCTTCATTCTCTTTTCTTGAGTAAACCCCATAGAAGCACATTTCTGCTCCACCCCAGCTGGGAAAAACTTGCTCATCTGAGAATAATTGTAAAATAGAGCAGACTCCTCAAACTGGGTTTTCCAGGTGTGTTGCTCCTGTTATTCCTTAATTAATGCAGCTTCTTTAATCAAGTCCATTCCAAGGAAAACTTCCTGAACCTATGCAGGAAACAGTGGAGCTTGTTACATGCCCAAGTCCTGTTTCACTCCAATCTCCCGAGGTTGCTTTTTTCAGAGTCCAGTTGCCCTGGGACCCTTCTAGGCAGGAGAGGGGGCAAGCACACTGCAAGGCTGATTTTGCCTATCTCTCTCTGTGCTGAGAAGGTTTTTCTTTACTCCTCATTTACTCTGGAGGCATATGGACTCCTAAACCGACAGCTCAGTTAAGACCCAAAAGTCACGTAGAACAATTTTGCTCGTGCCGCTGAAAAAAAATACTTTTGATTTTATTGCATCTCTTGAGACATGTGTTGCACCAAGGGCTGAGTGGGGAAGAAAACACGTATTTCTTTGAGGTGTGCCTCACTCAGGATGGAAACGTGGGGTTAAACCAGACTCCTTTTGGAGGTATCCTATCACCACTCAGCAAGACCTCTGCTCCAACTGAAAATTCCTCAACGAAGATTTTCCTGTGAATAATTCAAGCCATCCAGATAAACAACTTTTACACGTGTAAAGCATTAACAAGTGCTGGCAGATGCAGGGTTTACACCATTAAAATCAGTCAGGTTCAGGATTAATTGGAACAGCAACCAGCCTTCTGGCTAGATTGCACAGTGTATGTGTTAATTTTCCCTGAGTTCTTTGGTAAGTTTGCCGTCTCATTAGGTGATCTATTTAAAAAAAAATGTGATTACAGTTGATAAGCGGTAAGAAAGAACCCTTTGAGTGCCGTCAATTTTCTCAACCCTGTTAAGCACGATGATTTAGCACATGCCAAGCTTAAAGCCTGTGAAGTCCCACAGTAAAATCATTTACAGCCTCAAATTAAGTGTGAGCCTAAGTGCTCTGCTAGACCAGCACCAGAATAGTGAGTGATTTGCAGGTAAAATCCTACAGCAGAGCCTCAGAAAAATTCAGTTTACAAGAAGACAAACTCCCACCCCCATCCTGAGCTATTCCTGGAATAGTCAGAGAGAAGTTCAGGGCTGCACCTTCTGGTCCTTACCTGACCGACAGCCCATTCCTGTGCAAACAGGGCATCTCCCAGAGCACAGGTAGAGGTCCTTGGCAGACCTAAACCAGGCAGAGTTAAATTACAAGTTCCCACTGCATCTTTACCCCCACAAGAAAAAAACCCAGAGGACTGTTCAGAATGAGACTCTGCATCTCCATCCCAGACCTGGGATCAACATCAGCAAAGTTGCACCTTGAAGCAACAAGCTGCACGAAAGAGCTGGGAGCTGGAATGGCATCTTCTTGTGGCATCACCATTTCTACCAATTTAGGTAATGATGGTTTGTAATTGCAACCAATAAACAAATGAAAAAATAGAAATAAAATCAAATCTGCAGCTTTATTGCACTGTGTGCACCACTGATGCCGCAAAATCCCCTTGTCATCCCATAGTATCAAACCCATGCGCCAACTCCGGGAGCCTCACTAGGGCAAAGAAAAACTTGGAAACTCACCGCTCTCCGTGCACAGGGCTACGACGAGCAGGACAAGAAGAGAAGTCTTCATCCTTTATAGGTCTCGCAGCCTCCAAAACAAGCAGGACTCAGCCAGGGCAGGTTTTATACCTTCACAGTGTTTGCTTTGGTGCTGAGATAATAACTACGGGGCTGCTGTGTCAGTTGGTGGATAATTGGGAGTAACGTGTCAGGGCTTGTACATGGAAGTATGCTTGGTTGGAAATCCGAAGAGGCGTTATGTTCTTCCCTCCCCTTCTTTTTTTTCCAACTTATTTCATAATTCAGATTGTTTATCTGGTGTTAAGCATGCATCTGTTTCTAATTTTGGGTAAGCAGACCATAAAACCAAAACAGTATCCACGTGAGATGAGGAATGTTTTCCTTTTGAGGCCAGCTCGGTTCTCAGAGCAGGCTGCACCCTTAAAGGTCCTGTCCTTGCTCACTGGTTTAGTGCATGTGGAAACTGGTTGAGTTTAAAAACTGGTTGAGTTTAAAACTGAAACTGGGGTTGAAGCTTCTACAAAGTGTACCCTTCCACTGCTTTTCACTGGGGAACAGAGATAATTTTCTGTGGGCCGTTTTAAGACAGCAGTTCAAAACCGTAAGTGTTCCTGTTAAAAACCTAGGTATTTTATATGAGGGAAAACATTATCTTACTAGAAAACAAATTCTGCTGGGCAAGGAAAATGACTGCCTTAAATGAAAAAGTCAAAATTACACCCACTCCAATCACCTTGAGCAATCTGGTGGTTTGGTTCCCCCCCCCAATCACAAAAACTAAATGTCAGAGAGAAAAAACCAAACTAATTAAAGCATAGAAAATGAAGGATTTCCTGATCAAGGATCTCAACTCTTCTGGGAAAAAAATAGCACGTTATAGCCAGCCAAAATTATGTGAAACGCCAATTAGGAGTACTCCATCCGATTTCCATACTGTGCTCTTTATTCCTCCTTCTTTTCATAGAGTCACAGAATGGTTTGGGACAGAAGGGCCCTTTAGAGCTCATCTAGTTCAACCCCTCTGCAGTGAGCAGGGATATTTTAACCAGTCCAGGTTGCTCAGAGCCTCATCCAACCTGACTTTGAACACTTCCAGCCATGGGGCTTCTGCCACCTCCACACCTTTTCATCACATTTCATCCTGTCTCCCTGTATAAAATCAGAATCTTTCTCATCTTCTGGTCACTGTTTTTTTTCCTCCCACCATTGTCTTTCTGCCATCTAGTCCTGGGGGATGGAGGCACAGTCCCAGAAACAGTCCAGCTGGATCCCTTTCACATGACACTCAGAGCTGCAGGAGCAACCTACATGCCCTAAGCCTCTGCCAGCGATCCTACTCCTTGCTGCTCTCCATCTGTTTTTATTTCCCTTTCTTAATCTCAAAGATGCTCAGATTTCTATCTCCCATTAATTATTTGGCCTTCCAGTGTGACCCTCCTACAACCATTATCACGAAAAGGCATGCCTCGTCCTTCAGGTGAGGTAACTCTTTCCAACACCTCTAAATTGGACTTATTGTTAGGCTTGAGGCCTGTGTATGACTAAGGTGTGGAAATTTTTGCTTTCTCAACAGGTAGAGCATGCAACTCAGTTGGAACAGAGGTGGCAGTTGTCCAAGAAAGCTCAAAGGAGGGGCATTGCTTGGCTTTGTAAGACCGATGCTTTTGTAAGGCACCAAACGGGAGGAAAAAAGAAGCTGCCACCCTCCGTTGCAAGCAGTCCTTGTGAAATACTTTATTTTCCCCAGGCCGGAAGAGATGCCATGAGTCTTTATTGCTAAATTACCTTTTACTGTTGACTGTTCAAGGCAACAGCAGAGAAGGGGCCTCTAGTCACAAGGCGGTGCCGTTCCTCAGCCTGTACCTGTCGTTGCAGAGGCAGCCCACATTCAAATTTATTTCAGCCAACAGCATCCATTAACAGGTACAGAAATAGCAGCTCAGCCAGGAACTTTTTTTTTTTTTTTAATCCCTCTCCCTTGCAGTCTCATCCAAGCAAAACCGAAAATATCTCGACTCCTGCGAGCTGCTGAGATTTTGAGATGGCAAGGCTGTATTTCTTAAAGGAGTTAGTGCAGGATTTCTAACAGCTGAGATTTTCCATTAGGTGGTCCTGCACTCTTCCAGCTGGTCCCATATGTCCCCCTGATATTAACGTTATCATCATCCTTCTCTAGTGCCAGGTGAGATAGATCAAAAAGAACCCACTGGGTTAGAAAGGACACAGATGATTAAAACACCAGAGGGACTAAGGCAAAGGAGAAGATAATATCACAGTTTACAGGGATTTGGAAGCTGTGAACTTCAAGGAGCTTTTGGAAAGAGTAACGGAATTTAGCTGAGGGTGGAGGATGTGGTGAAAAGACACAGTTGCTGGGTGGAGGAGGAAGGAGAGTGTTTTGCTCATCTTGGTCTAGACTCGGTTGAAATTGTTGTGTGAGGAGGGCAAATGATTCCTTTGTTTTGATGAAAACATGCGATTTACATGGAAAAAAATCTGAAATTTAAAGTCACTGTGAAGTTTAGGCGTTTGTACTAAACACAGATCTTTAAGTTGGCTAAAAACTTTGAGAATCATTTCAGAAATTATTGTGATTAACAAGTGCTTAAAAAGAAGTGCAATAAAAACAAGTTTCTGCTGGTGCCTCAGCACACTACCATTCTTCAGTTAGCCTGCCTTGTATCTGAATAAATGCCAGAACGCCCATAAATTAAATTGTTTAGGATGACTAAACCTAATGCCATCTTCGCAGCCTTTGGCCAGCACTGCAGTTTCTCCCCGTTGCGCAGGAACAGATGCATTCTGCAGCCAGTCTGGAGGGCTGGTGGAGCAGCAACCCCCTCAAATCCAGCTGGCCTGCAAACATCAGGGCTTTTTATCCAGATGCCGCTTCTATCTAGATGAGCCCTTCCGAAATGCAGCACTGACTTGTAAACTGCTCAGCTGGGAATTATCCAGTCTCCATCTCCAAGAGTGTCTGGATGTTGTCCAGCTTAGCTATAGCTCCGCTCCTCCAAGAACTGCAGGGGATGTCCACCCTAAGAACTGCAGGGGATGTCCACCCTAAGAACTGCAGGGCATGTCCACCCTAAGAGCTTCAGGGCACCTCCACCCTAAGAACTGCAGGGCATGTCCACCCCAAGAACTGCAGGGCATGTCCACCCTAAGAGCTTCAGGGCACCTCCACCCCAAGAGCCTCAGGGCATCTCTGCCCCAAGAGCTTCAGGGCATCTCCACCCCAAGAGTCACAGGGCATCTCAACCTCTATCTCCTCCATCCCCAAGCCTGGAAATGCAGAAGTAACAGATGAGAGGGAAGGAGAAGAGACTTTTCCACCAAATCAGACACCTTACACCTCTGCCAGGGTCTTTGTACCCATTTCCCATGTCCCTTCAGGGATCTCATGAGCAACAACTTGGCAGCATCTTCTCTGAGCAGGCACCAAGGTCCTTCATCCATGAGGAGGGATTCCAGCAGCACCATCCTCATCTTGGACACCTCTAGCATCTTGGGGTGGCACCTTTAGCTATTTTAAAAGCTGAAGGCACCCACCTCACAGAGATCACATGAGAACTTCACAGCACAGCCAGAAGCACCACCAGTACCTGGCAAAATCAAAGTCCTCTGTGTTATGGGTTACAAAACAATTCTTCCTGTTGCTTGCAACAGAACCACGCAAACATCTTTGACCTATCCAGATTGACACCTTCATTTATTAGCCATGAGTGATCAGACAGAACATCTGGATTCATGGAGCGTCTGTCTTGAGCTGCTGGATATGACTTGAGAAAGGCAGACAAGAGAAGACTCCCAGGTGCTAAAAAGATGAATTCAACGTGACGTGGAGATTCAAACTACAACCTAAAAAGCTTCCTGACAGAGTTGTTTGCTCGGGCTGATCTTAGTGTGGATATAGCAAATACATTGTAGAATAACATAAAATCTTTATTTTGTCTGACAATTGTCACACAACATGCTATCAAAAGAGCTTTCCCAGGGAAAATTAGTACAAACCAACAAATGATACAGGGGGAAAAATAGGAACTACACTGCCATGGCATTTTATGGATGGGATCTGAAACAGTGTCTTGGAAAAAACCAGAGTAACATAGACCCTGTTGGAGACCCGTGACAGAGGATGTTTGTTTCTCATCTAGGGAATACCTTGCAAGTTCTTGGGTTGTCACGTCTTCCCCCACCCCTCATCACAATCCTGCCTTGATGACGCAGATCAAACTGGCCACAACTCCCAGGAACATCACGGCGTAGCTGATTTTTATGCTGTTGGCACCATCGTAATTGCACAGGGAGGTACTACAGCATTTGGTGGAATATCCCGCCACATCAAAGTTCACGTTCGTCTCAGGACAGTCTGCAGAACATTTCTTGGTCATGCGGTACCCTGTGTCCTTGCCTGGATGGAGAATAGACAAGAATGGAGATCTGTGATTTAAGGTTCTTCTGCAAGAGCTGACCAGAGGGCGATAGGAGGAGCTGTATCGCACTATGCTTAATTTGCAAGGCACTAATAATGGCAATCAGTGAATTTAATGAGTGTTGGGTGAGTAACCACGCAACCTGAATCAAACACATAGTGCTAGAAAGTCCTTGGTAGAAACTCGCACCGTGCTTCATGCAGGACAGCAAAAAAAAATCACTGCCATTGCATTTTTGATTTCTAAAACTGAATTACTTACATCCAAACCCTTTCCATCCTCCACCACAAAACACACGTGTGACCTCTCAGATCAATGTCTGTGAGGAAAACCTGTGTGCTCTAGCCAGCCCTGCCACAGGGTGCTGAGAAACAAACCCTGGGTGGTGGATCACAGAGAACCTCTGAGGGATTTGCACACATTCTGTGTTGTGATCCATAAACCTCAGTGATTAATTCTTTTCAACAAGACCAACTACTGCCCGAAAAAAAACCAAACCATATTGCCCATCAATTTCTCTGGAGAAAACAATCAAAAAAAAAACCAACCCAAAAAAAGCCTTGAGGTGTTGCTGGTACTCACCATACCCAGCAGGGCTGTATGTGGTTACACAGTATTTCTCACTGTCGTCACACTTGGAGGTTTTAAGACAGTTCGCGATGGTGTGCTCATTGTCACATGTGTAGCAGAACAGCGAGGAAGCTGGAAAGAGCACACGTGACACACATTAGTGGTTTTCAGCAGTGCCCTTCTGGGAAGAAAGTGTCAAAAACTATGTCCCTTCTTGGAAAATACAAAGTGAAAATGATGTTACAAACAAGTTTTCTTGAGGGGTGAAATAAGAGGTCGGGTTTGGTTTAATGGAGCTGAAAAAGCAAACAAACTTTCTTTCTTTGCTTGAGATTTTCAGTGATTAAACCTCAAAACACTTTTTTTTTTTCCCCAGCCTGAGCAGTACTCTCAGGTGACCTTGCTTACTCCCCAGGGTCCACATAAGTGTGGTTGACAACCAACGTGCAAGAGCAGAGGTTGCAACCCGCCCAGCTGCGTCTAAGAGAGGATGAACTGGCACTGTTCTCAGGCAAGAGCTTAGTTTTTGAGTATTTTCAGACTGCATCCGCGGAACGCTGCACAGACATGAATTAATTAAAGCCCATGACATCCCTGTGAGCAAAATTACCGAGCACCGAGCCACATTAAAAGGAGTTCCCTGGGAGAGGTTGCTCCGGACAATATAGAGATTATTTCTACCAGTGCCTGGAACAACATGTTTTCAGTGATATTATTACCAGGGCTGAGCAATGTCTATTACAAAGCTAGAAGGAGGCAGGATATGTGTTTCTGAGCAAAATTGAAACAAATTGAGTCAAATTTCTGGGCTGGGCAACTGGCCATGCTAGAAAACCAGGCACATGCCATCCGTTCCCCAGAGGTGGAGCCAGAACTGGTGGAAAGTACTTCCCTCCTGTTCAGAGTTCTCTGAAGAGCTCCTCATTTCTTAACTGAGGTGACAGAGGCTGTTGAGCTGCTCTCGGGACAGGCTGCTCCATTGTCACAGAATCACAGAACATTTTGGGATGGAGGGGACTTTTAAAGGTCATCTAGTCCAACCCCAATGCAGTGAGCATCTTGAACTAGATCAGGTTGCTCAGAGCGGTGGAGAGCTTGTGGTGGAATTGTGAACCAGCGAGGGTGCTCAGTTAGGCTGGAATTTGCTCATTCAGTTCCTCCTGCCATGCTCAGCCCAGGAAGGCTCTCATTTCTGTGCAGAAGAGCCCCTTCCAACTGAATTTGAACCTATTTAAACAAGGAAACTCCTCCCAGAGTCTCTCCAAAGAGCAGCTGCTCTTGATTCAAATTCATCTCTGAAGTTGAACCTGCCCACGATACTTGGTTAGACAATTCCAGAAGCAGTTTTAAAATCCATTTATGCCCTAACTACACCAGGTAGGAGCAGAAAAGCCCTCTCCTCTGTGATGTGGGGAGCTCAGGTGCCTTGGTACATCTCTGGAGCCAGCTCTGAGTGCCTCACTATATGACTGACCATCTCGCTCTGAAACCCACCTAGACACTCATTTCTAGTGCCAGATGTTGGAGTGCAAGTGCTCTCCATAACGGCAGATAAAATCCTTGTTGCATCCTGCTTTTAACTTCTCTTTACCTGATTATTCAGCACTCACTGTTTCTCCATCACTTGGATAAAGCTAAGCCTCTGGAACTTCCCCAACACAAGCTGTGGGCTACTGTCCTTTTGCAGACCATACCAGAACGATCCCAAACGGGCTGCCTTGTGAGCATTATTGCATTTTACAGACCGTGTAGTGCTCTCTGCTCTACTTTTCAGCCAAATCTCACAAAGTTCAGGAATTGGTGTGAATTCCTACTGCAGACAGAGCCAAGACCCCAGCGTGTGCATGAAAGCAACTGAAATACACTCATGTCCACCGGCTGATGCACGGAAAATCCCTCCCAGTCAGGAAACAAGAACAGCTTAAATTATTATAGCTGTTATAAAGCCTTGCAAACATCCGGCCTCCACCCTCCCTCTAGTTTTGCGAGCGCAGACAAAAACAGCTTTAACGGTGCAAAAAAGGCTTGCAGTACTCCTCAGGATTGCAAATACATGCATAAAGCCAATGTTTATGGACGATTCTTCACAATTATCTGGTTATAGCTGCACGTCTTGTCGAAAGAGAACAAGCACCAATCATTACGGATCCCATTGCAAACGCGCTCACTCCCAGACACTTGAAAAAGCTCTTCAAACCTATGAGCAAAGAGTTCTCAGGCTTTCAAATATCTGCCAGCAGCTTAGTTTCTTAATTGTAATGTCGTTGTGGGAAGTAAAGTGAAACGCTGGCAAAGGATGCGGTGTCAATACCAGCTGTATTACCTTTATTAACAGCTCCTCAAGTTTCATTCAGGAACAAAAATAAAACCAAAGGAAAGACTGTGAACCCAGCTTAATTCCTAATAGCATTTCTCAGTTCACGTCTGTCTTCAGAGGTTAGTGGTTGGAGCCTGATACTTAAGTGTGTGAGAAACCAGAGGGGTGAGCTCCTCTTCTTTGAGTTATGGGTACCTTGGCAGAACTCACCCAGAAGCTAATACTCAGCCACACTAAATATTACTTGACGCAGCTGACACCAAAGCAAAACTGCACTACCGAGACCTCACCAACTGCAACCAAAGCTCTCAAGCCTTCTTGTCCCTGCATTATCTCTAATGTCTCTTCTGACATTTTCACCCTCTCCATCTGGCTCTCCCAGCCTCCAAAGCTCCTTACCTTGCTCAGCACACAGCGCTGCTGCCAGCAGGGCAGTCAGAAAAGCCTTCATGGTCACTGTGCCCTCAGAGACTGAACAGGGTGGGATGGTGCCTCACGGTAAGGTTTTATACTGGGACCACGATTACTCTGATTTCCTTTGACGATAACAATTTGAGGTTTGGGGAGGGACAGCACCTAAGATGTGATCAGCGACGGGTGTGTTTGTGCAGAGGAACTTATTATGCCACTCCAGGTAGCAATTTTTTTTGACATGCCATTCAGAGCCAATCTTTTTTTTTCCAAGGCCTACTCCTGCTGACCACGTCTGCATTGCTAATTTGGGGAACAATTTATCTGATTCAAAACATGGGAGTCCCTTCTTACACCACTGGGCTGAACCACGACACCTGGAGCAAAGCAGAGGCAGCTGCACCCATCTGGGGTGGCTCATCACTTGCTAGGCGTCGCCTGGCATCCTCCAACCTTTCTTTCTGTCATGATATGAGAGCTTCGTGTCCATGGGACATAGGAGGGGTCAAAAAAAATAGAAGATTTTCACATGATTGTGCCCAGTCACTCAGAATTATTTCACTTGTACTAAGGAAAGTGCTTTAAGCGAAAAACCACTGTGTGTCGTTCCTGCAATGGTGCTGTTTGTGCCTGGAGATTGTCTCTCAGAGGATCCCATAATCCAGACAGGGATGGGATATGATGCTTTTGTTTTGCTCAGCTTCCCTCTTCTCCAGAAACATCCAAGGTTTCCAAGCGACAATGTTTGTTGCTACTTGTAGACCAAATCAGGGTTTTTCCAGTCCTCCTGGGCTCCTTGATTCTGCTCCCATAACCACTTCATCAACTCTTGCCAAATAGCTCAGGATGCAGCAGAGGCAAAAGGTGCATAGAAATAGCTGCAGGAGTTAAATTACGAGTGGGAGCAAGAATGACTAAGAAATAAAACAAGTCCTGATCAAGAGGATATCTCAGCAGGACTCTTCTTCTTTAGAGAGAGAAATGACCAAGGGGAGCTAAGAGTCAAGGTCTGTAAGTTCAGAGATGATCTGGAAACAGAATAAACATCATCCAGTTGTTCTTTGTTTTCTCCAAATTACTTCCCAAGGAGTGGGTTCATAGGCTCTTCCTCTGATCGCCTGCCTGCAAGATCCTGGGCAGATGGCCCCATGTCCCACCCCTGTGATGAGTCTTTTGCTTCCAATCGTTCTTTCTTTGCCCAGTTCCTCCTTTTTTTACAGCAGCTCCCAGCAATTCCTGCCTCTGCCTGTGCCCAGAGCAGGGTAGAGAAGATGAGCATCCACTTTTTAAAGCCTTCCACTCCATTCTGTGGATAAGCCCTGGCATTGAGCATGAATCTTTAATTATTTCCCCTTTTAGTAAGGATGTGAGGGACCTACCTGACATCTAATGTAAATATACTTTGGAAGTAATCTGTGAAAAAGCTGTGCTTTCCGAACAAGACTTTTGATAAATACATGCATGAACGACATCAAGGCAGGAAACATGATCTGCTACAGTATGAGGGTGGAAATAGTAAGTATTAGTCTACATGTTTGGTTTATGTATGATAGCCAGGCTTCTTGCAGCCAGCTGGAGAAATGGAAAACAAAACTTCCTTCCCTTCCATCCACATGAAAAATCCAGAAATGAAACTGAATTATCACACTGAATTCTCCTCATCTTGGAGCCAATCGAGCAGAAAAATGCAGCTCCTCAGCAAGAAGGGAGTGATGTATGAACAAAGCCCACAACAAGAAAAATGAAAGGCTTTGAAATTAAAACAAATAAATGAACAGTAAATAAATGACACTTTTAAAATAAAGTGCAGTTGAACAGAAAAACCACAAGTGAGAAATGGGCTGTAGGAAGTGGAAATGTGAGAAAGCATTTAAATAGATTAGAGAGAGGGTGGTTAATAACAATAAATAAGATTTATATTTCACCCAGAACTGGAAAGAAAGAAGGAAGAGAGCTGAGAAAGATTGGTGCAGTGCAAAATAAATCACAGCAAACACACAAAGCTTGGGGGGAGATAATTAAAGACAGGCAAAGTGAGCGTAAGAAATAAAATGGGATGTGAGGAAAGTATCGGTGCTTCACTGTTTCTGCTGTGGTGGCATCACTTAGCGCTGTGCAAAATGTACATGTTGTTACGTGCAGACACTCTTCAGGCATTAACTTCAGCCCCTCGGGTTCTGAGGAGCGTTTTCCACAGCTCCCCAAATCCCAGCTTAGCTAGCCACTGGAGTAACCCTATTTACCCCAGCCACTGGAGTCAAACTGTGTGGTGTTCTGTGGTGGAAAGCCTGCCCTGGCCCCTATCCTTCTGTCCCTGACTTACAAAAGCTTTGGGACCCAGATGGGGGTCTGGCCAGGTCCCAAAAACCACACTATTCTTGAGTGCCATTGATATTGCGATCACGGCCAGGGACACTGCAAGGGCTCTGGGCTCCAACCAGCACCACGGCAGTGGGGTGGGGGACGAGTGTCCTTTGAAAGAGAGAGAAGCTCGGTTGTTTTTTCAAGCAGGAGGTGAAGAGAGCTGGAAGAAAAGCCAGGGAAAAGCCAGCTGGGATAGTGAAGTAGAGATGGTGTCACGAGAACACAGCATGGAGATGTTAAAGCTACTTCCTCCCCATCCTGGAAAAAAAAAAACCAAAAAAAAAAACAAGAAAAAAAAGACAGGAGGAGGGCAGGAGGATGAATCTTGCTGCAGAAGCAAGACAAGGTGGGTGTCATGAAGGGTATTAAACAGTTAACAGAGCCTGAGATTTTAAGGAAGAAACCTTAACCCACTTTGAGCTTGGCAGCCGGTTACAAGTGTTTGTGCCAGACCTTGGGAGCTGTGTTGTGCAAGGCCTGTCCTTTTTGTATAACTGGAGCCAGACAAAGCGTGTTTTCAGCCTGTGATGGAGCAGCGAGGTGCAGGAAACTGCCAAGTCCGGAGATGTTTTAATGTCAACTCTCCCCCACTTTCTCCCTTTTAGTTTCTGGAGAGTGGTTGCAATCATAGCTCTGCTCAGTGGTACAGAGAGGAAACTCTCCGTTTCAGCTGAGGGTTCTAAAGTGAAGCTTCAATATGGAAAGGTCATGGGACAGGGTGAGAAGAAGGAAGCCATGGGTAGTGCTCCCAAGGTCTCTGAGTCATGCAGATGGTGCATGAAGGGTGAGATGTCCAGTCCAGCCCTGGACAACACCAGGCTGGTCTGGTTGTGTCTTCTACTCCTTCCTTGTCAGGTCAGGGAAGTTTGGGTTGTTTCATCTGGCTGTGCAATGGCAACATGGTCAGGGGGAGAGCCAGAAGGGTCATGGAATCCAGAAACGCCAGGATAAAAGGAAGACCTCTCTGTGATATTTTGCCTTTTCCATCTAAGGCCTTAGTGTTACAGACAGCCTGTTCTATTCTTCTTTTTCCCATCTGGGTCTGTAGCTGACCTGGTAGGCTCCAAACAACAGGGCAGAGCTCCTCAGGTCAGCCCCATGGCAGATAATAAAGGCTACCAAACCTCCAGTGATGGAGAAAAAGGGTAATCCAGGTCCACCATATCTGGTTGAAATACAAGCTAATCTGGGTAGATTGTCATCTCAGCATGACAGCTGTGACAGTCACCAGGAGCCTTGTTATTCGTTACAATAAGTGAGGAACCTGAATCTTCTGGGGCCACAGATACCAGCCAACAGGGAACCAAAGCCATTTTGTCACGTTATCTTAACCTTCAAAGTTCTAAGACATAATTCAGTCCCATCAGCTTGGAGGCTCATGAGGCGACACCAAACAGCACCATCATGCATGAAGTCAATCTCCATGATTCACATTCCCTACCTGAAGGGCCAGATCCAGACTAGCTCACCAATCAGGGCACAAGCCCAGCCCCAATGCCATCCGTGCCATCGGACCATCAACATGGCTTGGGTACGCCCCAGCAGGCATTGTCCAAGCCAGTGGCCTGGCATGGGGCTGCTCCTAGCAAGCAATTTGGATGTAACCACTCTGTTTGTAGAGGAAAGATGTTAGAGTTATGCATGTGAATCATCTTTCTTGGATCCAGGGCCAAGGCTTATTATCCTGTGGTGGCGTGTCTGCAGCCAGGAGGGCAGATATTGACCTGCAGGGACTGAAGGAAAAGCAGGATCACAGAGTTGCCTAGATTGGAAAAGACTTTTAAGATCATCAAGTCCAATTATTAACCATAAACAAGTAGAGAAGAAGGATGTCTGGGAGGAGAAAGAAGAGGTGAGAGAGGAAACCCCAGTATCCTTTTGGTATTCTCCCAAAAGAGTTAGTGCCAGTCCTCCCCAAGGAGGACATCACTGGCCACAACTGTGTTTGGAGAGAAATGCTTCTCACAAGTTTATTAAAGTTTTCACTTGAGTAGAATTTCCCCTCATCCAAGGTCCAGCCTGCCTGATTCTCTTTCATTACATGAGCAGTCAACGTGGAAGCACTAAAATGGATTGTCCCCACTGCCATATGTTCCTGCTGGTCCTGACAAGCGAGGCTTTAATCTGTCTTTGGAAATCTTGGGCTGTGGTAGATATCTGACCCATGCCAGTGTTAAGAAATGCTAGGTGCTTATCTTAAGTAAGTAAGTTTTAAACAGAATGAATCACTTGGAGCATTAGGACACAAGGGTTACAGCACAATGTTGCACGATTTGGTATACGGCTTAACATTACTTCCTTAGCATGAATAGCTACATTTTTCTTCACTGTGAAGGTGGTAAGACACTGGATCAGGTTGCCCACACAGAATCACAGAATGTTTGGGGTCCAATCCCCCTGTCAGAGCAGGATCACCCAGAGCAGGTCACACAGGAACGTGTCCAGGTGGGTTTTGAATGTCTCCATAGAAGGAGACTCCACAACCTCCCTGGGCAGCCTGTGCCAGGGCTCTGTCACCCTCACAGTGAAAAAGTTTTTCCTAATGTTTTTGTGGAACCTCCTGTGTTCCAGCTTGTACCCATTGCCCTTTGTCCTGTCATTGGACATCACTGAAAAGAGCCTGGCTCCGTCCTCCTGACATTCCCCCTTGATGTATTTATAAACATTTATGAGGTC